AAAAAATTATTATTCAATGACATACTAACAATAAACAGCATATGCTGATGGATAGTGGCCAACTGCCTGCCAGTGGATGTCACCAGTGTTTGGTGGTGTCTGCCACCTGCCATGTGAATCGACCGGACCAAATACCAGTGGCAGCCAGCATAACATGCTGAACACTGGTATATCCCAACATACCCCACTACTTGCCACTGATACACAGCAATATTCACCAGTTGCTGCTGTATTCCGATGGGTTCCAGTGGACAACGAACGGTGGTGTTCACAAGCGCTCACAGTGACGCACCCGTATATGGCAAGGACCGCCGGCGAACACCAATGGCCACCGGCGAACACCGGTGGTTACCGCTGGAAGTTGGCGAACGCCGAAGTTGCAAGTCACGGGCTTATAACTCCACCCGGTGTGCTTCCGATATAAATATCCTCCGTCGTCAAATTCTGAGTTTGCTAAAGATCTCAGGACAGCTCCATCGCGCGAGTTATAAGCCCGTGACTTGCAACTTCGGCGTTCGCCAACCTCCAGCGGTAACCACCGGTGTTCGCCGGTGGCCATTGGTGTTTGCCGGCGGTCCTTGCCATATACGGGTGCGTCGCCGTGAGCGCTTGTGAACACCACCGTTCGTTGTCCATGTCAGTCCCGGGCATATTACTGCATCGCGCGTGTCCTGTACGGATGATGCCAGCTTCCGGCCATATCTGATGCTTCCGCTCAACAATAAAACATTATTTAGATCTATTTGTGACGTAATGGGACTTCTCCCTCGTCGCATCGATGTACACAGGGCCCCCGCGGACAGCGCCCTGGGCACTATCCGCGCGATTTTGATAGTCGTGCGACCCAGATTCCGATTGCAGCAGAATCTGCGCGCTTCAGTCAGAAATCCGTTCGATTTTCGCTCGACCACGCTGCAGACTCTGCTGTAACCACTATCAGCGGATTGCACTCCAGATCTTGTGTATTCCACAATCCGATTTTCAATGAGAGGCTTTTCCGCATGGTGTGAAGCAGGAAATGCCTGTGTAAGGCCGAGGGAGCACAGAGGTACATCGAGACCAGCTAGCAGTCTTACTGTCGCCCAACTCGAGGATGAAACGGACGCGTGATGAGTACGAAGAGGCTTCCAGTGAAGCTCATACTGTACAGGAAGAGCTTGAGGAAGAATCAGGTGCGCATTTTCTCTGCTCTTGAAGTACATTTTGAGCTGACCAGCATGCAGTCTTCTGTGTCGAGCGGTCTAAGTACATCTGTCAGATATGCGACCCAGCGACAGTTCGCCCACTCACCTTGAAGATGGCAATTAAGCACGAGGAAACCATAGAGCACACTCGTCGTTTACGTATATATGACGGGCGAGTTCCCTCTAGTGACCTGTTTGTTGCCTCTCCAGCTGCTCGCCCCACCTCGCCTCTACCACCCTCATCTCCTATTCGCGATCCATACTATACCAGTGCAACCCCTACTGTTGTGTATAATGTGCCAGCTGCCCTACCAAGTTCTCCCAGCACGCCATCGCAGCAGCACTGTTCACGACAAAGCCGCTTACTTGTCTCGGACGACGACGAAGATCCTGATCCGGACAATGACAGCACACTCGAGATGACCCCTCGCAGTATATGGGAGCGTGATTTAGTTGCAATCCACGGTCCTCACCTTCCAACAGACCCTCCAGGCCAGATTTACGATGATTGGGGTGGGCGACTAGGCCGCCGTGCAGAGCAAAGCCATATGAACGCTCACACTACCGTGCCGTTCACCAACTATCCTCGTCCCTATGTAGAGGATGTCTCTGATGAAGAGGACAGTGATGGCGGTGACGGACAGCTTGAAAACCCGCAGTTCAGCGATCCGCTTCGTCCAGCTGAGCACGCTCAAGGTAACGCGTCGGACATTAAGTTATCAGTGATTAAACATTTACATGGGATATCACTAGATGACAACTACGAAAGAGAAGAACATTCTTCACCTAAGAATGAGGAATGGTGGCCATGGCGCAGCCAGAAGGCTAGTGTCATCCCGGCACACAAGAGTATATTAGTGGACTGAACTCGTTATATAGGAATGTCTCATCGATGTTCTGGGTGCATTTCCCCGCGCAGCTTTCTCAGAGGCCGAGATGGACGTCACCCGGTGGTTCGCAACCCAACTCGGTGCTCTCGATTTACCCAGCGTCCGCGTTGTCAAAGATCATCGCGCTTTTGTCCTCAAGACAGCGGGATCCCAGCCGGAGATGGTCAAAAGCTCTCTTGGGAATTACTATTGCAAGACAAGCCTCGGAACAATTCTGACACATGTGAGTCACGCTTACAAGGTGCATTGAATACGCTTAATTAAACTGCCACGCAGGAGATGGCCAATCCAATGGTTCGCCCTCTGCTACATTTGTATCCGGAGAAGAGTGCGCCACACCTGTCTGAGGCCCGTCAGGCTGACAGATGGTTGTCTGAAGTCGAGCCCAAGTATGCCGGCATCATGGCGCGCGATGCTGAGGGACAGCAAGACTATTACATACACGAGCCGTGTCTCGCTGACCTCGATGGCACGGGAAAACCT